GTGAGGAGAAAGGCACAGTGTGGAACTCGTTTCCGCGCGCGTTAAGTGGATGTTCTCTTTGCTTAATGAGCAATAATCAACACTGACTCCTCTTCTTGTTCCTGAGCTGCATGCTGCGTTTTAAATGTGCAGAGTTTGTGAGGGGGGACAGTGCAGCAGAGCAGCTGCCTCCAACAGGCCAACGTGATCTTTTCGGAGAAGAGGAAAGAATGGATGGATCAAACAAAAACTATGAGACATTACGGATGTGCTGGGATTTTCAAGAACCAAAAAAAACTTGAGGTAAGAAGATGTGTTTGCTTCTTGGGGTAAATTTGCAAAAGTGAACTTCCAGACCTTGGATTCAGTCAATTTATGTCAGAAGAGCAACCCATTCTCACTCCCGAGTCGTCACATGTTGACTGAGAAGAGAGTAGAAAAATGTAAAGGACTATTAAACAACTACTTAGAAAAGAGTAGGGTGGGGGTCATAGAAAGATGGAACCATTAAAAAAGAAATCTAATCTGTCTTTGGAAGTGTACGCTGATTTGGAGGAAAGTGGATGGAGGAAGCGGGCGACTGAAAGAATCCAGCCGATGGAGCCATCAGAGGAGCCTGTGTGAATGGGCTGAAACTTTGGAGTAAATAAACACAAGAGCAGCCGCTTTGGAGGGGGCCAGAGGTGCCCAGTGAAAGAGGAGGCCGCTGCAAATAAAGGGGGTCACTCTTGTGTTTTCACCTTATCCACCCCTTCTGTCATTGTGGCCCCACAACCACTCCAATCCCCCCACCCACCCAGCCCGAACTCCTCCGGTCTGGACTGTTCTGCCACACCCCCCTCCTGCCACTGAGACAGACAAATGTCACCTCCTTTGTGGACCTTGTTTGGGCTCAGAAGCGGCCCGCTGTCTTTGTGCAGCGGACTAATCCTTTTATGAGCCACCGTCGACCCCACCATCACCACCCACCCACCCAGCGCTGGTCCGGGCCGAGAGAGTCGCGGTTCCTTTGTGAGCACTGTGTGCTACCTGACAGCAAGGAGGAGTTGGCGAATCGAGGAGTTCCAAAGCAGCTCCTCAGGCCCGCAAGGCCCGCTGCGCCGCCACAGCAACGACTCGTTAACTAGAATCTGTACGCCTACCAAACAAGAGCCGCTTCAGTGTCTGCTCGCATGTTTTCTGAGAAAGTGCACCAGTAACAGGTTAAAGAAGTGCCTGGGAGCATTCAGAGAGGAGTTGTTGTGCTTCCGCATAGGCTGAGCGAAGGACAAAAGGCCCAGAAGGACTGACATTCTCTGGAGCTGAAGCGGGAGAAAGGGAGGGAGCTGATTTCATGCCTTTTGTTGATGGAGGTTAGGGAAGAGGAATTCTTTCATTGCGACCGAAAGGCAACAAGTGGAGAAAGGTGGGGGTGACAGGCCAGAGGGGGGCGAGGCATTGGTGGGGTGCCGTTCACCCAGCTGAAAGATTGTGCTTTTCTCTGCCTCTTTCAGGTCCTTCATGCAGGCCCGAGTTACAGGGCAATTATGGAAATGCAGCTTTGAAGCCAAGTATAGCCTTCATTCAGTTCCTCCTTGGGACAAAGGAAAAGCAACACAAGCTTTTAATGCCCCCCACCCCCAAATAAAACATGTTTCAACATCCGTGTGCGCTTGTTCTGACCTTATTTTTAATTCCTCTCACCCAGTGTTATTGTTAATGTCGACAATTCAAAATTAGTTCTAAAGACAATTTGAAGAATCTTTTAAAACTTTTCATGGGGAAGAAAAAAAGCTGGGATCTCTCATCTCTCTATCCTGTCAATCTATAAAACATTTTTTGTGGAGATGAGCTAAAATGTGGGTTAAATAAAAAAAAAAAAAAAGGAAAAGGAGATGAGGCCTCAGAAGTGCCTAGTTTTACCAGCCTGACGTCCCCTCGCCACACCCGTTCCACTCGCATCCCACTGACAAAAACCCAGCAAACCGTCAGCCCCGTGCTTTCTCAGCTTTGTACATTAGTCAGCGGTGTAGCCCAGAATTTCACCACCTTGTGTGAACTAATAAGACACATTTTCTCCAGCTTTTGAGAGGATCGCAAGGGAGTGATGTCTCGACATCGCCCAACACAGCAGAGGCCTTGTACGACAGCGTCTTTACACTCCGAGCACATCTGACAAATGCCAATACTCCGAGTTTCGCTCATCACTGTTAATGAGAGGACATATTTTGGACGTTTCCAATATTTGCACAGACTTCATATATTATGAAGACCCTTTTATTCGCAGGCACTGCGGACAAGGGTTGGGTGAAGGCAGGGGTGTGTCCGTGGCTCCTCAGGATTGCCTGACTGCTGAAGGGGACTTAATAAATTCTTCCTCCTTGGAACACTGTCAAACAAGTCCTTTCTTACATCTCCCATGAATACATTAGCAGCAAGTTGATTGATTAGAGCCCCCTGTAAGAGGGTGAACCAATGGACTGACTCCCCCTGTGTGATTAATAGACTTTATTAAACGAGTCCTCTCCTTTTTAATAATGGTAATGTAAAGGAAGCTGCGGCGGAGATGAAGGGAGGGGTGCACAGGAAGTCTAACGATGATCATTGGTGCTGTCCCTCTCTCTTTCATCCCCTTCCCCGTATAGTTTGAGTTCATTTCCACTCCCTCCAACAGGCTTTATCCATCACCTCCCTATCGGAGCCACACACAGATATGAAGCTCTTTTATAAACTCTTTTTTTTTCACTTTTAGTGCCAGCACGCTGCTAATACGAGACTCTCTAAAACATCTCTCATTGAATGCATGAGAGTTGGATTGATTTTTTTTATTCCTGCTAACAGTTTACAGCTGAATGAAAGAGTGTCAGTAACCATGAAACATCTTTAAAAATGCTTTATAAGAAATTAAGCAATGACCTCATCACTCTGCGTCCTGAACTGTATTCAGCAGTGCAAGTACTGGCTGTGGGCTGAAGAGGAGGCGGTGTGCAAAGTAACTAAATATGATTACTTAAAAATCAAATTTAAATACAAAACTTTTTATGCTGGTATTTTATTTTTTTAGAAAAATTGTTTTTTATATATATACATTGACCATTTTCACTCATCTGCATCTCACAAAGACAAATGTCACCTTTTACTCCACAAAGTTTGTTTAATAACACTAGAATCTACTTGTGTAGTAAAAAAAAGGAATACCTAGATGCAAAAAAATCCATTAGTTAAAGAAATATTGGTTTTATTTCATTTTTTTCTTTGATGTCTACACCAATGATCCTATGTGGTTTAGACAATAATTCAGCTCCACAATAATTAACACCCCCCTTTATATAAACATGTGGTTTTTAAATCAGTAAAAATATAAAAGGCCATTATTTTATGAATAAATATTAATTAAATTATATCAAAACAGATTTATGAACAAGTTGTTGTTCTTTTTGTTGTTGTTTTTTTCTCACCTCATGTCTTTATTAACTGTCTTTATGAAAATCAAAGTTCCTCAAACCAGCTCCACACCCTGCATCTGGAAAATACATTTATCAAAGCATTTTTACATCAACATAATAAAATTATAGGTCTAGATATGTAAGGTAAAAACTTCAGGTAACTATTTTGCTCCGAGGAGCTTCAAATGAAATGTTTGAAGTTTTTTTTTTTCCACAAATCTTGTTTTCATATTTTTAAGATTCATCGTGTCCTGGATGATCGAGAATCTACACACACATTAAACATATG